TTAATATATACATACACGCACACACACACACACACACACACACACATGCACGTATATAATATATATATATATATATATATATACGAGTATATATGGTTTATGATGTAAACGGCCAATAATAATCGCCCAAACGGACCGCGTTTATTATATACACATACGCACATACACGAGTACGCAGACCCGTTGGATTCGGGCCTGTGACCGATGCTAAAAGGGGGGCAGGTAAAAAGCTTTCATACGCGCGTATAATATAGCGGTCGTATATAAATATATACGATATATGGACGCGCGTTGCCGGAGACCTCTGTGCAAACAGGAATTTAATATAGTATAAGAAAACAAGGGGACGGAGTTAAGGGTAAATTTACCTCCGGGGAATAATATTATATATAGCGTATATATTATGTATATGTGTGTGTGTATATTTATATATATATTTATACACACACACACACACATAATATAGGTACGGGCGGTAATAAACACGAACAATATCGCACTATGACGGGCATAACACCCGACGACTGTGCACGGGTATAATATAATATTTTATAGGCGCATACGGGATGATGATAGGACGTGCCGCGGACGACGCGGCGTAAACAGTATGGCCGGGTTTACAATAATAATTGTTATCCGATTCGCGGGTGGAGAAACGAAAAGCGCAATAGTAAAGCGGTACTCTGTCGTAAACTATACGGCGGGCCGTACGTTTTCTCAAACCGACCGAGAGAATTAACCGCGAAATCCGCCGTGTCGCATTGAATTTCAATCGAAAAACGAATGTATCGCGATCCGATTGCAAATGTATTGATTCCGGGTGCCTGCGACATTATGTATACGGATTAGAATTGAGAAAAAAAAAAAAAAAATCGACGTTTCCGAAAAAAATGTTCACACTATTGTTATTGGCGTTCCGCGATAAAACGTGTGCGGAGTATATTGCGGAAACTTTTACGAATATCCGTTTGAACAAAATGTATTCTGTAATAAACTTAAACGTGTTGGACCGTTCCGCCACACCTCGTATGTACTATGCGCTATAACTGCAGACAATAACACTGTGAAAGTCAAAGTAGGTACACGTGTCGCAGTGACGCGAAGAAAATCAATAGAAAATATTCTAAATGATAACAAAAATAAATACCGCAGACGGGCGTATTACGATAATTTCGATAATGGCTATATGTTTTTAATTAAACGTTTTGGGCGTATATATTTTAATTTTGTTTATCATTATAATTTGAAAAATCTCCCGACAGTATGACGCATATTATTATATGCGCGATAACATACAAGCGTACACATCGTGTATTTTGAATATGCGTTTCGCTTATAAAGAGAGAGAATCGCGTGGTCAGAGATGGAGGAATATGTGGAACCCTGTGGTTGAATGTGGAGAGAGCTGTCAGCGCAGGACACAAATATATAAACGATTACTATTTCGGAGGACTGGTCTTAAAGGCCTTCTAAACGAGAAGAAAACGGCGAAATTTACAACCCGTATATTATTTGAATATTTCGATTTGATTTTATTATCGGCGTATACGCGTTTTCAATTTTTACACGCGAAAACCGAATTCCCTTGCGGCGTAGTTTATTCGAACGTCTAATTTGTCTAAAGTTGAAATATTCATAAATTATAACAGGCACTCGTTATGAAAAAAAAGTAATATTTGAATGAATTACATTATTTGTTGTTAAATAAATAATACTTCATGCACGGTAATTGAAATAATTACGGGCTTGTAATAATAATAAAATAATGTGTTATTTTTTTTTCCCATTGGCTTTTTGCCTGTTACAGCGGGCACGATTAAATTTATCTTATTAAATTTATTTTATCTCTCGAAAATAATACAAAAGTACAAAAAAAAAAAAAATAATAATAATAATACGTTTTAACAAAATAAAAACAATAAAGAGTGAATAAATATCTAAATTAGAGATCTCAACTGAAAATAGCTAAAAGTTGTATTTAAATAAATATCTAATTATGTATTTTTTTGAACATTTACTAATAAGACAACATCAGGTAACGTAAATAAACTAAGTAACAATACATATATACAAACTAAACGCGTAGTTAAAGAACAATCGTAGTTTGACAAAAATCAAGGCCCCCGGAGTCTTTCGACCCAGTGACGGCCCTTCCTCCGCTGTCCCCTTAATCCAGGCTCTAATATAGGTAATGTACTTTCGTAGAACTGTGTAGAGCTATACTACAGTATCAATACTCAAAAAAACACTATAACGCTAAAATATATTACAGTGTAAATTAAATGGAAACAAAACAAATTAGAAGAAAAACTTAACCAATAATCATAAGTAGGTTTATTGACGTGTATGCATGATTTATATATTTTACAATGGGTTTCGATTTAAAAATTCACGATCAAGTAATAATAATATTACGGTACGACGCTGGCGAACAAATAACAATAATATAGAACGCCTTTGTTGTACCTATATGCGTATTATTTTACTACTACTTGTACTTGTACGTATTACTTGATGATTTTTTTTTTTTTTAAATCGAGACCGTCGTAAATAGAAAGAAAAAAAAAACCTTTTATTATAACGACATAATTCAGGCAGAGTTTTTTTTTTATTCTCTTTTACATAATATAATATTTCGTCGGTTATTGTTTCACCTATACGTATAGAACTTGCCGCGTTCGCGTACCGCGATATTATAATAATATACAGTTACGCGATAATAATATCGTGTTAATGTAACATTTTATTGTACTAGCGTACGATAAAAATCGTGAAACAACGTGCAACGTTAGACGTTATACGGTAATAGTATTCGATGCAGTTCAATCCCCACGCCATCATGCTGGGGCGTCCCTAGTAAGGACCAATGGTACTTACTTGCGCGCGCACTCTAGAGTGTATATCAGCATTAAAATATTGATCTTTAAATTTGTGCCCCGTGTATAAAACCGGAGACTATACAGGTTTCACCCCCCCCTTTTTTTTTTCGCGTGTATACACACGAACGCGCGCGCGTTTATACTATTATTATTATATCAAACAAAAGTGTTAAATACGAGTATACGCGGTTACATAGCTGTTATGTATACGCGCACGCTTAATATACGGCCGTAGGTAAACGTGAGTGTTATTATGAATAATGATTTACTTTGGTATGTATAATATATTACAATACGCAATCTAATTATGTTTACACGGAGAGGGGAAGGATCTTTACCGTATGAAAAAAAAAAAAAAAAACACAAAAAGGAAAATATTATCCGTTTAAATAATGTGGCCACCGCCGTTCGCGTATAATTCGATCGCGCCGAAATTATTGTGTGTGCATGTGTACGTGCACGGTCGAATATAATATAAACATCTTATAATATTACAACATATTTAGATTCTGGGTGTACTATTGGTTGTTTTGTCGTAATAATAATTTTGTTTCATTTGCAATACACTATATACGCGCTGTTCAGCTTTTCCGCGGACACAATTTGCGACATTAATAATATTACCTAGTCGTGTTACGAACGCAGACAAGCAAAAAACCATAGAATACCTGTACAGCAGTAGATATGAAGCATAATAGTCGAATGTGGACACGTTTTATTGCGGCCCATTTAAGCATACGTGTCAGCGATGGCTCGTGCAATGTCATCCGAATAACAGCTGGGTAATTTTGTGAGAAATTCGATTTTACCGCAGGGAGATTAAATGAGTCGGCTGTGACCTGACGGTCGTAGCTCCGAACGAACTCGACAGGCGTGATTCGCCCATGAAACGCGGGGACATCATAAATGAAAACAAAAATCGAAATGCGCCGTCCGTCTATCCGGTGTCAACACTGTTTTATAATACGAGCGCATAAAATACGAATGCACGATAATAATAATTTAATAACATCATAATATATTTATCGACAGGGCCCGCGACTCGCTCAAAGAAAATAAATGTTATTTTACTCTCATCGATATGCTCTTTAAAAACATTCATATAAAAGCGCTTATTATAGCATGGAAAATTAAAATTTTAAAATGTAGTTGAAATGTTTGTTGAATGGAAAATGAAAAATTCAAATAAACAATTATGACCCGTTAATGTGCTTATGAGCTTAGCGATTTATAACTCGCAATATTATTTACTATGCCAACATAGGCGCTTGGTACGATTACAGTGTGTCGTGTATCGTATAGTTTTCCTCTACACTATCGACAATGCTATAAAACGTTGGAAATATAGAACTGAAATAGGCAATTGGAGAATTAATATTTGAGCGAGGCGTACGTACGAAAAACTGTGCTCGTAATATGTACCTATCGATTTTGTCATATTATTTACAACAGTATTTCTATTTGTAAATATTTTTGTTTAAAATTACTGCTGCAGTGATGCGTATTTGAGCAACTCGTTACAAAAATCAGCGCAAGTTCGTTCTTGTTTTATTTCAATATTTGTATATAAAAAAAAAAAAATAAAAAAATATTTCCAAACACAATATGTATTTTTCTTCTATTTATTGGAATGTCGGTATAATGATGAAATAATGTTAAAAACACAAAACTAGCGAAATAACATCGAAACTCATAGAAATACGCCGCAAAAATTTGAAACAAAAAATTTCGAATTTTCTTCCTTGATTATCCGAAACGATTTTATTGCTTTATATCAATGTCTCCAACATCTACTAAAACAAATAATATTATTATGTAAATGCTACAAATCGTGCGCCCAGCTGAACAGTTATCATCTATTAGATTAAAATATTATACATTCAGGTACAACGGTCAACAAGTATACATGTTTGTTATTTATGTTTACATAAAAGAAAACAACTTTTTAGATTTCGGACTTGGATATTATAAATCAGTGATGACCAACTATGGCCCGCGATCATTTATTAATCGACCCACCGAAGTATCAAATCGAAATTGGAAAAAAACAACAAATAATAATAACTTCAAATTTCAAAAATCAACACTCACATTAAAAAACGATTTGGTTATACTTTACATGTTTTTCTCGTTTATAATAATCAATACATAACAAATAATTACATATATCACTGTACCTATTATATTAAGATGCACCTTAAACAAAATATAATATTCTATTAATTTTAAAAGTATAAGTTGTATAGATATTCGATTTTTTTTTCCGCTGCAATATTGGTCTATTACGATGCTACACACGTTGGCTTCCTTTTTATTTATTACTGTTTTGGATCGCTTGCGCTTAATACGCTTTTTCGCATCTTTTTTTTTTTACTTTCAAAATATTCGAAAAGTTATTATTCATTCTTACGTCATAATGTGTCAGCGAGAATGGATCGAAGTGATTTTATCTTGAAATTACGTGTTACCATATTCTGTTGTCGTGTACACGTTTACACGTTTACACGTGTACACGTCGTATGCACGTTCTAAACGTATTTTCAATCATTTTTGGTACTCTTTTTTTTTTTTTAACCCGATAAGATATTCGTTATGCACATTGCACCAATTACAGTATATCGCTCTTATCACGGCAATGTGGTTTTGTTTCGCGGTGACACGTCGAGGTTAGGGTATTAAGATTATATATTTTTTTTTTTTTAAATTTATCTACACTCTATTGTCTAGAAATTTAATTATAATTATTACATTATGTTTCATGTCAAAGATGATAATAATACACATACAAGTGCTGTATACGTTTAAAATATTTAATTTTTAGATGGGATATCGTTGTACAGTTTTATTTGAACATTTTAACTATAAATTATTTTAAGATGAACCACGATACTTAAATTTCCACTTTGTCCCGATAAATTTTCCCGTGATATCGCGTGTTTTGTGTTTTGTACAGTGATGCATTTCTGAGGTAAGGTAAGGAGAGAGCAATGAAAAATTCCCCCCTTTGAATAATAAAGAAAAAACCGTAGTATACAGTATGGTTTTTATTTTATTGTTGCAAAATATATATCGCGTTTAACTGTTGCAAATGGTCTTTCCCTCCTTCCCATCGGATCTGCCACTGTAAGTTCTGTACATACGCGTCACTTGGTTTTCGATATTTCGTGGTCTATTACTATTTTATATGAAAATACAGAAAAAGAAAAAGATGTATTTCGTGCGGCTTCAACTTAGCTATAAGTAAAATATAAAAAAAAAAATCCTAATATATTTGTGTTTTATGACTTGCTGTAGCTGTATGTCGAGATCCGAAATCCAGTTTATTGCTTTTGGGGTCACTGAATGTCGTCCCTTAAATCCCCGGTTGAGTTTTCTCCTCTGATGGCATTCTGTTGTTGCAATATATTGTTCGTTATTGTTTGTTCCCCGCTGACACAGTAACCGCAGTAGAGACTGGGTCATTTTGAAATTCCCGTCTACGTAAGACAGCCTCACACCGTCCATGGCCTGTACGCAGTATCTGTTTAATGTAGACCGGGTGCTTCGAGGTGGATTCGTCCCTATATAGGATTCCGTTATTTTGGGGTCTATTACCAGTTCTCCGTTTGCCGTTGTATTTAAAATGATCGGACGCAACGATAATATAATAATACCTATAATATCGTCGCGGGTTTATGATTTTTTTTTTTTAAATTTTATAACAACTGCTTAACAACTTCGACTTCGGACTCGTCGTCGGTTCGCCACAGCCGGTTTCATTTTGCAAAAACGTCACCGCTATATTTTCGTAACAGGTTCGCGGGCCTAGCTATTAAATTGTCCGCGGCAAAGTCGAATATTTTTTATCGCGTTCGCGGTACGCGCGCTATCGAGAAAACGCATGGGTACACATCACGAATCGAACACGCGATTCGAATGTTGAAAACTGCGGTTTATTAGTTGGGTGTATTATACGCCTCTATAATATGGCGGGCAAACAGCAACTATGCAGCCAGATATTGCATATTACGTGGTGCGGCGGTTGCAGTGTTGTGTTCGTAATTGTCGTATAATACACTGTTTATCGTGATAATCGTCGGATATAAAACGTCAATATTTAAACCGCGGAGAAATAAATTGCAGGTATGTACCTGCACACGCAGCACACGCGTATAGGTATTGTATATTATAATAATATTGTACGCCGATAATTTATACGTACGAAAAACAAAGCCAACAGAAATTTATAACGAGTATAATATATTATATACGCGCCTACATAAATAATACTACAAACACGTCGGCGCGGGAACGATACACGTTATTATAATAATTATAGTGAAATATTAATTTCGTGCGCCGAGAAAAAAAACATAAATATAGTACAGTCTGATTGTTTAAAATGTCGCAAACACATTATGTACACCGTAGGTATGCCTACACATAGGTATACTGCGCATAACGTACACGGGCAACACACGCGCACACCGGCGGGATACTATAATATTATTGTTATTATAACGGTCGTGTGATTTAGTTAAATATTTTTGTAAAATGTATTTTGTCAATACACGTACGAATCGGATTCGTGTTTATCGCCGATAAATACGAAACAGATAATAAATATCATCGTTATATATGTTACAAACAACAATAATTATTATATAATAATACACATACATATAGGTACCTACCTACGCGCGTATAATAATAACTAAGCTAATTTATACGCGTTCTTATACAGGTATATAAAAAAAAAAAAAAAAACACACAAAAAACAAAATTAAAAAAATACCCATAAACTACTCTATATTATATATTCTGTTTACTGTTTTATAACAATTGTTTAATGCGTTAATGTCATATTGATTTTATACGGTGTCGCGTTTAAAGTTTATAGTTTATACCGATATTTTTTTCGAACAATATACAATATACATCATTATGTATTGTACACTAAATAAATATTCGAAGACCAAAAACAAATTTGCCTACGATGAGTACTGCTACTACTACAGTCGGTACTAAAATATTGGATGTGTATAATACATTTATTACAAATATTTATACGTTCATTTATTTTCGTAATTTTGTTTAACCGCGATACAAGTTAAACGAAAATTCTTGACCACAAAATTAGAATACTATATTATGTACCGTCAATCGGATAACACCTCCTATAATTCCCGCGTATCGATCGAAACGCGCGTTTACGAGTATTCTTTAAAATAATAATACGATTTAATCTTCGAATTTCGATTGGTTTTTATCATTATTATTATTTATTTATTTTTTTTTTTTATCAGATATATTACTTATTAATTTTCAAACGGTTTTTTCGGACGATTCGAGAACGGCCGACCGACCCGAACTCGATGGTTATTCCGGGTATACTGCGGACGTATTATATTACAATAAGTACACAGCTGAGATTAAAGAAAAATCGGCTTTCCATTCCGACATGTTTTCATAACGCGCGTGTAACAATATATTATACACGTATACGATTACCAGCTGTTCAACGTCGGTATTATGTAGGTGCGTCGCGAAACACGACACATTTTTTTTAAAAATTATTATTACAACTATAAATTATTTGTCGAAAACGCCGTCGTCGTGCCGTTAAAAACGGCAACGCGTTTTCGGGCATTTTATTTTACTTTTTTTTTTTTTTTTTGTTTTTTTCCGGGGGTTCTCGCCGAACAGCGCGGTACGTCACGAATGCAGTACAATAACGTGTAACGGCAATAGCCGTTACGCGGTACACTGTCTGTATGACATTATAATAACCCATGTAGATAAACGACTGTTTTCTAACGTAATTTCGAACGAGCGAAGTATAACCGCGTGCATATGGGTATATTATTTAAAAAAAATATAAATTTATAGACCGCATTATTATTATTATTATTGTATACGGCGCGCGTACTGTACGAGTCGCACGACGGAATTTAAATCGTTGACAGCGTTTCATTAGACTCTCTTGTGTACACTTGAACCAACAAACTTCCTAATGTACTTGCCAGATGTAATCATCACACCTGTATTTGTTCTCCTGCTGCCGTCGCCGTCGCCGCCATGCCGACCGCGTATGATATTATAGCTACGTATGCTATTATATTCGGCTATAATATTATAATGCATGTCTATATACCGCGACTATTCATCAATTTTTTTTTTTTTTTTTTTTTCCGTTGTTTTCGCTCTCCCTCTCGCCGCGTCTCATTATAATATTACACGCTATATACGTTCCGCTATTATTATATTTAGGTTAAGTCGCACGTACGCGTTATACATGCGCTGTCTATGCCTATAATATACCGCAGCAGCAGCACCCGTGCACGTTACGTACAGCGCGCGCCCGAGATACTCCTCTCGTAACTAGTCTATTGTGTATATTATACTATACGTATACGCTCGCGAGTACCTATATAATTGTTAATTCGGTTCGTGTACGCATATTGTGTGCGTGTGTCTACACACACACACACACACACATTTATGTATACACGTGCGCGCGTGTACGTATACACACGTATCTGTACGTATTATGACACGAGCATCGACGTTTTGAACGGTAATAATGGGCGGTTACGCTCGGGGAATGTAAGTGTACGCGTATTGTTAGGTGGATACCAATTAGACGGGCATGACGTACGCCGCATATTAGTGCATTATGTTTTTTTTTTTTTTTTTTTTAATGTTATATAGTGTCGCGTACGCGGACGGCCGTTGAAATACGCGTCGTTATCGCGAGCTTTAAACGCGCCACAGTTTTTATCACCGCGGGCCGGATGCGACGGCCGTCGTTTCGTACGTGACGCGCGTATGTAGAAAAGCGAGGGGACGTAAAAAAAAAAAAAAAAAAGACGTACGGTTTATCACACTTTCGACGCAATATGTCCACCCGAGACGGGGGGTGGGGGGAAAGGTCAAATGAATAAACGGTGAAATATCCTGCCCGGAATTCCCAACGGAGATAAATTTTAAAAATTTCAACATTCCGCTCAAGAAATAATCGCCCTTTTTTTAGTACCAATAATAATGCTCCACAAATATGGTTAAACACAGTCCGGAATATCGATTTTCAGACGCTTGTAACAATGCACTTAATTTTGATTTTTATTTTGATCCACAACATCAATTAAGGCGCATAATAATCAACGCGGTTAACCTACGTGAATTCATTGTGTATTATGTATTTGTTTCCAATTTTTTTTTTTTATTTTTTTTATATAATCTAATATTTAATATTTAGATTTGCATTGTATACTCTTTTGTGTAATATTTTTTTAACTGTGACTTTTTCCCCTTTGTGATTTTTCAACTTTAAATAAAAATAAAATAAAATAATTATTACTCCGGTATAACGATAAAAATGAAAAAAAAAAATCAATTCGTAAACAATAATCCTATAGGGATAAGAGAGGGCGATTATACCGCCACCCGCCCCAACCGCGAATTTCGTTTTCAGACGTCCGTTATAATAATATTGTTGCGATAATGATCGTAAAATAATATTATAATAGGTCAACACGATATTATAAAATGTCCCGATATTATTACTATAATAATATTATGTTTGTCGCGACACTCGTCGTGCACGTATTATTTGATTTGAATCGAATGCCGTAACAATACGATCCTGTACACGGGAGGTTTTCAACCTTTTTGAGTCCACGAATGGCGTGGTTTTGAAAATCGAATTACCGATACCCTCCACGAATAACGACAATACAAATTAAAATAAACAAATTATTTACTATACTACCGTACTAGGCATATTTACTATACAGACACGGATTAACAAATCACGGCGTCCCTGCAGGGAGCCGAGACGTACAGGTTGAAAACCGCTGCTGTATAATATTATAATATACGAACAACAATATCATTGTAATTCTTATCGTTTTCCCGAAAGTCGGTATCGTAGACGAATCCGTTGGCCCGGGTCTCTTTTCTGGGTTAAAATGCATATAGTAAAAATTGTAAAAATTACGCGTCTTCGTTAACCGTCGACAAACGAAAACGGGACGTGGCACACGTTATATGCAAATAGCGTTAACGTATAATAGTATCGCCGAGGACGGTGTGCCTTTTGGGAGTTATAATTGTCGACCCCCCCCCCCCCCCCCCCC